ACGAGGATTGGAGAGTTTAGATACTGCTATATCTCATCGACAGCCAAGTACCACCTGATCGATGGGCAGCGAGGCGACTCAAGTCGCATAGTGCGAAGTTCATCCATCAGGACATAAATTTATACCGATGGAGCACATCGGAAATCTTACTGAACTGCTTAGATGGCGAGGAGAAGCACGACGTCATGAAAGAAACACACATGGGCGCATGTGGCAACCACTCCAGTGGTCGATCTTTTGCGAGGAGGATAAAGAACTACAGACACTTCTGCCAACGATTCTGACTGACTGCAATCGTTTCGAACAATGCCAAAGGCACACCCCGATGATCCACGTCCCCGCAGAGCTCCTCGCTACCTCGTCACATCTTTATCCATCCATGTGGTGGGCAATGGACATCGTTAGTCCACCACTTTGATCCCGCCAAAAAATGTTCATGCTCATCGTCACTGATTATTTTACCAAATGGGTCAAGGCATAGATTTTTATTAAAATCCTAGCTCATATGAAATTTATGTTAATTAATTATATGTAAATATGTAAAGATCTTGTTTTGATTCTGAAGTAACTTAATCGAAAAAGAAAAGAAACAAATCAATTTTACTCTATTCGGTACAATCTATTTGTCTGTCATCTACCGCGACCCACCATTATTTTTCCAGATTCTAAAGAAAAATTATGAAGGCGCTCGCTTCGTAGTTCTTGCCTATCAAGAAAGTTGGCTCTTCAAGTTAAAGTTTTGACTCTTATTTGTAAAATTGCAAATTTGAAAACTTTCATTTTTGTTTGACAAAGAAATTGATCTTTAATTCGTTAGAATTACTTGTGCAATCTTTCGTGTTATGTTTATGTTATCTTTTCGATTCAAATTTCATTTGCATCACGTTATAAAACAGCCAATTTTACACATTTTTTGTATGCCCGCACATATACATATACACTACACATTGTCGTAAGTAAAGAGTAAAAGCTAATCTGTTTTACCGAGCGAAAATGAGTATAGTTTCTCTTTCTAAGTAGTAATTATATAGCTTCTAACATCAAGTGCGAATTCGGAGTAGTTCCCAAATCCATCACTTTGTTCACAAAATGTGAATACTTGTAGTATCTCTTCTCTGTTTCTTCTTTGCTCTGAAACATTGTCTTCAGCTTCATCTCTAATCCCTTTGGAGTATAGTTCAAATGCTTACCAGAACCCACAGGACCCTCTCCGACTAGGAGCATTATGTAACTTTGTAGGTAACTCCTGTATCTTGGCACAACTGTTCTTACCATGGCCTGACGTATCTTCCATCTCAACTTTTCATCCTCAATAACCCAATCTGATTGCTTTGTGTAGATTTCGTCGAACCCCTTAGCAAAGGCTTGCAATGTTCGCTTAATGGACTCACCGGATCGTTTTCTTTGAGCTTTGTAGTTGAGTAGGGATAAGAGCTTCTCCAAGCTTTCTTTGACGTATAGGGCAGCATAATAGTCTTTGTACTGCTCGTGCGCGCTCAGCCAAGACTCCCCCATCATTTTCCCAAGATGAGTCTCTCTCAAACCGCAGAAATGGCAGTGATTGTTCATCATAAAGATGCAAGAAAGAGTGGTTCCTTTGTCCGAGCTCGACCACACATCCAAATTTAAAGCAATCTCTCTCAGTATGCTGTACATGTGACCTGTGAGAAGCTCTTCTTGGTACTTTTTGTTTTTCCATCCTAAATCAATCTCGAGAATCTTCGACAAGATAGGCTTGTTGTTGTTCTCGAGTAGCTTGTTGCAGTACTCAGTCACAACACTCACAAGCTTGGGGACACCACCGTCAAGAGGTGGGCAGTTTGGTCTTTGTAGCTCCACTTGAAAAGGTAACTCCCAGAAGATCTCGCAGACACCGTTAACGAGATTGCTAATTAGCTCCCGTGTTGCTCTGCGTATCTCTGAGCATTGCTCCGCTCTAAACAGCTGGTTAAACTCAATTCGAATGGTGTCCATTGTAGAGAAACAATCTAAGAGCTTTAGCAGCTTTGGTGGATCTTTCTTGCATTTGCTGATTCTTGTTCCAAACCTGAGTAGTGGAAAGATTCCTGAGTTTGAAGCTATTTCTCCAAAGCAACGCAATGGGACATCTTTTCCAACATCTTCAAACACTTGATCGCAGAGCTTACTCTCAAAGTGGTAAATATCTTTCACAGCAATCTCCATATCCAATTTCCATTGATCTATATCCCCTTCAATATCCTGCACACTATCAGCTTCTGTGATTGTTCTCTCGAGATAGTCAATCTCCAACCGTTTCTGAATAACCTTTGTGCGGGCTTTGATGTAAACAGGCACACAGTTTGTTAACCGCGAATGAGCATCTAATCTCTTGATGATAGCCTGCAACTTTCTCAAGTTAGCTTCTGAAAAACCCGCTTTGAGAATCCGCTTGAATTCTGTTTCGAGATACTCCAGCGCTGTGAAAAGACTCCCTCCTCTGAGATAAGCACGAGCCTCGGTCCTTTGCAATTCCTGCACATGTTCTATCCAAGTCTTGAACCGCAAACCGCAAGGATGGTCTTCAGGCATTCCGTTTTCGGTTAGGAAGTCGATCGTATCTTCAAGCCAATGAAGAGCAAGAACACAGCTACTAGAGAGAAAACTCACGGCTTCTCCAAGACGTTTAACATCTGAAACATAACCGAGGACTTCATTAGAGGAGAAGAGAGATCTCTCGAGTTCTTGAACCGTAGCAAAGACTCTCAGAACACCGGACATCGGGGCAATGGTGTGACGGATATGATCAGAGAAAGGAGAAGATCTCCATCTCTCTACCTTAACATCAGCTTCTAAAGACACTAGCTTGTGGTTGATCTCTTCAAGCTTGGATCCTGTCTTGTGTAGAACCAATGAAAAGGTTTCTGATTTCTCCATCTCATTCTTCAATAAGCTTCTCATTGCTTTAAGCCTCTCAAGTCGTTTTGCTTCAGCCATTGTTTTTGTTGCTTACTCACTAAATGCTTCAACAACTGTTAATGGATTTATATAACAATCCTCGGCAGATAAACCAAACTTCTTACCAAACCCACCAAATGAAGTAATCACCAGTATTATACTATATACCACAACATCGTATTTGGTCTTTTAAAAGTATCACTACAAGAAAACACAATATTAACAACGAATTTTTACAACGATTTATTTTCGTTGCAATTTTACGACGAATTAACAACGAATTCGTCGTTAATTCGTTGTAAAAAAATTCATTGTAAAATCGTTGTAAATTTACGACGATTTTACAACGAATAATAATTTTATTTAATTAAAAAATAATCGTTGTTAATTCGTTGTAAAAAAATAATAGTCGTTGTAAAATCGTTGCACATTTACAACGAATTAACAACGAATAATTTTTTTATTAAATAAAATCAAATATTCATTGTAAATTTGTTGTAAATTTACAATAGTTTTACAACAAACTCTTATTTTTTAAGTAAAGAAACATTTTACAAAATTATTGCAAGTTTTCTATTATTGAAAAAAATCTTTTCTCCTAAATACTATAATTGTAAGTTCTAAAATCTTATTATTTCATGTTTACTTTATATAAATTTTATGTTGATTTATTAAATTTTCACATAAGGAGTGTATATATAATTTATTACAGTATGATCATATATAATTTATTCAAAGTTAACAACGAATTACCGACGATTTGATGTAAATTCGTTGTAAATCTATTTTTTTGTTTTTTTTTAAATTAATAACGAAATTACAACGATTTATCTTAAAATCGATGTAAATTCGTCGTTAATCAAAATTAGAAAACTCCCACATCGGTGGTTTGACAAAATTTCTTATAGTATATATATAAAAAACTCAACACTAATATATAACAAGTTCAGTAATCCATCTTCACCGCCGGAGTCATCACCACCACCACCGGAGGAGCCACCACCGCCGGAGGAGCCACCACTACCGGAGCCACCACTGCCACTGGAGGAGCCACCACTGCCGGAGGAGCCACCACCGCCGGAGGAGCTATCACCACCGGAGCCACCATCGCCGGAAAAATAATAAAATCGTTGTAAATTCGTTGTAAAAACTAAAAAAAAATTAAAAAATCGTTGTAAAATCGTCGTAAATTAAAAAATAAAAAAAATATAAAAATCGTTGTAAAAATTAAAAAAAAAATATATATTAAAAATCGTTGTAAAATCGTTGTAAATTAGCGACGAATATAAATCGTCGCTAATTACAACGAATTTACGACGAAATTTGATTTACGACGATCGATTCACGACGATTTGATTTTCGTTGTAAAATCGATACAAACACTCATTTACAACGAATTTACAACAAATATGGTTGCTGTAAATGAGGTGTTTTCTTGTAGTGTATAAGAATTGTTACATTTTAATCATTAACTTAAAGCAAAATCCAAGTCTTGTTTTGTTTGTTATAGTCAGCTCAACCATCTTTATTCTGATGCTAAACAGTTTTCTCTTGATTTCTACGGTTTGATCATCTGATCAAATGGACCTAAAAAAGTCAATGAAATTGTCTTTTCCTTGTTGTATTTATGTATCTAAATCCGAAAAAAAACTAACTTGGAAAACTACAAAACCAAAAACAAAATAAGCATTTTCTCAAAAAAAAAAAACAAAATAAGCATTTTCTCAAAAAAAAAAAACAAAATAAGCAGACTTATACACGAAATTCCTTCTATTAGAAATGAATAATTTTCAGTAATTTCATGGAACCCCTAAGTTTTGTTTTTTTTTTGTTTTTTTTTTGTTTTTTGGCTTTATCTGTATCTTCACTTTAGATTAACCAATCAAGGAAATAAGCCAGCAAATGTGGGTTTCGATCAGTCTTGGAGTAAACTCCAAGAAACAATGATGAAATAGAAAAAAAGTCGAGATCTTTCAATCTGGATTTTTATAATCCGGTTCCATTATTGTATCAGGGCCCAATGGGCTTAATATGTGTTAGAGGGTTATTAGGGCACAGAAGAAACCAGTCTCCTCTGGATTTGTCAGAAAGAGAAAGGAAGATCGGAGATGGCATCGAATGCGGCGGTTCCGTTCTGGAGAGCGGCGGGGATGACATATATATCGTATTCAAACATTTGTGCGAATCTCGTGAGGAATTGTCTCAAGGAGCCTTTCAAAGCTGAAGCCCTAAATCGCGAGAAAGTTCATTTCTCAATCTCCAAATGGGCTGGTGGAAAGCCAGAGAAACCAAGTATGCTTCTGGATTTTGTTTTAGGGAATGCTGAAAAATTAACGTTGGGAGATCATTGGTTCTAGAATTTTATTTGTCGTCTTGGATTTTTTTATTTGTCTTAAAGGGATGAATAGAGAAATTCGATTTCGTATATCATTTTGGGCAAGATATTGAATTTGTAAAAAAAGGAAGAAATCATCTTAGAGTATTGCGATTAAACGTGTCTTTTCTTCTTCTGGTTTGGATCAAATTTATTATTGTTCTCAGTATTTACTATTTTGTCAAGTATTAGTTAGCCTCTCCATTGCAAAGGATAATAAAAAATCAAGTAATTTTTATGAGAAACCAAAAACATGAAAACAGATGATAATGATTTGGAATCTGACGTTTTAAGATTTTATCTCTTCTCTTATTAGAAGCTTGAATGAAGACGATGATTACATTTCTTCTCAAAAGTTTTTTTTTCAACTAGTTTAGTTTAGATTTAGTTTTTATCAGTAAATGGATTAGCTTTCACGAGTTCCTACTTTTCTTGTTAAATCTAATATTCTCGGATGATTGTTTTTCTTGACAGTTTTGCGTTCGGACACACCTGGGGTTTGAGATTTAACATTTGATATCAAGTTTTGAGGTATAAGACCATCTCCAATGGTCCTTCATTTTGATGAAAAACATTATTTTGATGGAAAACATCAAATAAGGGAAATTCTTCTCCAATGGTACATCATTTTAAGAGAAAAAATGAGTTTGTGAACAGTATTACATCAAATTTGAGGGAACACTATTCATCTCCTCATTTCACTTTTTAACTTTGTTTATTTGCAAAATGATCCTTATAGTTTTACATATATCTCATCTATATCTAAACAAAGTTTTAAACTTTTGTTTACTATATAAATAAAATAGTATTGTTTTTAAAACATAACAATAAATAAATATTAATTAATTTTATAAATAAAAACGTGAAAATATAATTTTAATATATAAAACAAACATAAAATAACTTAACAAATAATAAAAATTAAAATACATAATTAATAATTTAATACCATAAATAAAAATAAAAGATAACAAATAAAATTAACATAAACTTTTTTTTTTTAAGAAAAAACTTAACATTACATAAACTATTAGTTTAATAATCTGGTAGATTATTTTGGGATCCACCAAGATTATTTAAAATATTGTCCAAATGAAGTAGATGGAGAAGGAGTTTGTTGATCTTGTTCTTGTGCAGCTCTTTTCTGTAGAATTTGTGTTTGTTGAGCTTGAACATATGCACGGATATTCGTATCTTGTATTGAATCCAAGTCTTGAAATAAAATTTTGTTTTCTTCCTTCTCTTTTTTCAAGGCATAATTCATACTTTGAATATCCAAATGTTGTTGTCTTTGTGCATTTGTCTTCTTTAGTTGCTCCACAAGTTGTTTATTTCCTTCTTTTAAGTTGTTCAATGTCATTGATGTTTGATCATCACATTTTCTTTTCAGTTTGGCTTTTTTCACTCCAATTGGTCGCTGAAATGAAGATCCGCCAAAAATATCTTCATCATCATCTAAATTTAAAGAAAATGAGGACAAACCTGGAGATGCTTGTGTAGTTGATTCAAGAGTAGGATTTTCCGATTCTGAAGATGTATAACCGAAACCACATGGATTTCTCACATTTCTTGCAGAGGTTTCACCATCTTTAAACTTAACAATGTTCCACACATGATGGAATTTCCAAGATTTATATTTTGGATCTTCAGATAACATCATTTTGGCTTGATTGCACTGCATAGCAATTTAAACAAAAAATAATCAGTTTTCCATACATTTTAAAATATATGTAAATTGATAAACCATATATTAATACTTACAATATCATCATTTGAAGCACCACTTGGACGTCTGTTTTCACATTGTTTGATGCATGTATGTAGTTTTTTTGTTGCTTTCTCAATTGTTTGAATTCGAGCTTGGATAGATCTTTTTGAGCGCTCACTCCAGGTTGAATTTTTTCTATTCTCATACCCTTCTAACACCCGAGACCAAAATTGATTAGATGACTGATAAATTCCTTTGATTGGATCTTGAGAAATTTCCATGTACACTAGACATAATAACTTATATTATTCTGGATTATATCCACAAGAACGAAGTGGCATTTTGTTTCTAGATGAGTATAAAGCTTAATGAAATTCAATGGTTGTGAATAAAAATAAAAGGGCATAGCATTATTTATAGATGTACACCACTCCAAATTTTAAAAGTTCTCTCACTTTTCAATCTATTGTCGACTTTGTAACAAGATTTGACAATACACAATAAAAAATAATTCAAAGATTCTCACATTTTTTAACAATTTTAAGTGGATTTGACAATACAATAATAAAATAATTTAAATATTCTTAGACATATCAATCCAATAGACATTTTGAGAAGGCACTGAAAAAGTACTGTCAAGATTCCCACACTTCTCGACAATTTTTAGTGGATTTGATAATACAATAATAAGATAATTTTTTAAAATATATATATAGTCTTGTAAACCTTTATAAGAAATATTATAAACTTTTATAAGAAATCTTATAAACTTTTATAAGTAATCTTATAAGTAATTTCACAAATCTTTATAAGTAATCTTATAAGCCTTTATAAGAAATTTCTTGTTTATAAATCTTTATAAGAATTTCAAAAGTCTTATAAACCCTTATAAATAATCTTATAAACCTTTATAAATAATCTTATAAACCCTTATAAGTAATCTTATAAACTCTTATAAAAAATCTCTTGTTGATTAATTTTTTTAAAACCTTTTGAAAATATGCTTATCTTATCCTAAACTAATATAGTTAGACACCTTGGGCTATAAGCTATCTTGAAGCTTATCACATATAAAATTCAAGATTCTCACACTTCTTGACCAATTTTTAGCGGCAAAGTGACAAGGCAATGACAAAGTGACAAGGCAATGACAAAGTGATTTCAAGATTCTCACACTTCTTAACTAATTTCCACCGGACTTGACAATACAATGATAAAATAATTTAAAATGCCACCAGATGCCACAGACGAGTACGTGAAAATAGGCGAATCCACAGCAATCGAAAGCCTGAAAGATTTTGTCGAGCCATAGTGGAAATATTTTCAGAGCAATATTTACGATCACCCACTGCAAATGACGTTTCCAGACTTCTTTACATTGGTGAGAAGCGAGGTTTTCCAGGAATGCTTGGTAGCTTAGATTGCATGCACTGGAAGTGGAAAAATTGTCCTACAGCTTGGGCTGGACAATACTCTGGTCGTAGTGGATCACCAACTATTATTCTTGAAGCTGTGGCGGATTATGAACTTTGGATATGGCATGCATATTTTGGTATGCCAGGTACCAATAATGATATCAATGTTTTGGAATCTTCCCATCTCTTCTCTAATCTTGCTCAAGGTATCGCTCCTACTGCTCATTATGTCATTCAAGGAAAAGAATATAGTATGGGTTATTATTTGGCTGATGGTATATATCCGAAATGGTCCACAATTGTGCAAACTATTCAAGAGCCAATAGGTCCAAAAAAAATATATTTTGCTACGCAACAAGAAGCATGTAGAAAAGATGTGGAACGTGCATTTGGAGTTCTTCAATCGCGTTTTGCAATTGTGAAAGAGCCTGCTCGTTTTTGGAGAAAAGATGTGCTCATGACATAATGACTACATGTATAATTTTAATAACATGATAATTGAAGATGAACGTGATCTTGATGCTCCAATTGAAGTTGGAAGAGAAACTCCACCTCCAGAAGTTGAAACAGCTGATGATGAAAGTACGCGATTCCAAGAGTTTTTGGCTCGGTATAGACGAATCAAAGATAAGAAGCTCATTTCTCACTTCGAAATACCTTAATTGATCATTTGTGGGAGAAATATAGTAATAATGATGTTTAAAAAAATATACTATTTTTTCTTTGTCATGTTATGTAATTTTCTTTATGTAATAAATGTTTAAATATAAATTAAGAATTTTCTTTGCTTAAATTTTATCATTTCTTAAAATAATTGGGTATAATTTGTAAATTTAGAAATAGTGGGTGTTGTTTGTAATTAATAATAAAATAAGAAAAGAATATACTGAGAATATTCTTTTTTGAGTGAAAAAATGAGGAAGACTATTGGAGTAAAACTCTACCTCATTTTGAATTTCCCTTATTTTGAGGGAAAACTTGAGGGAAACCATTGGAGATATTCTAATTGCCTGCACAGCTGAGGAACGCAAGAACTTGCAAACTCTTAATTTTTCTTTCTTTTCTTCCTTTATATAATTATATTTGTCAGCAATGGAGCTCGAGAAAGAGACTCGTTCCAATCTTTAATAATGAAAACATGAGGCATTTGTGTTTCTTTTCTTGTTTTTGCATTTATTCTCTTCACATTTTTCATTTTTTGTATGCAAGTAAGCAAGAAGCCTTTTAAGTCCATTTATAAGCTAAAGACAAGATATTGATTGTTACACAACAGTGGAAAGAGTATAAAACTGGCAGCACATGCGTGGAGAATCAAGACACTGTCATAAGTTTAAGAGAAGAGATGTTTACGATGAAACCATAAGCATTTGTTATGAAAATTAATTAATGACATTATTGAAAAATAATTGATTTATTAGACAAAAAAATATTGTCACTTCAAGAAAATAAAAAACAAGTTACCGTTGTTAGAAAACAATTCAGAAGGTACGAGGTTATTGTAGACTGTAAATATAATTAAGTAAGGAAATAATAAGAAATTTTTAGAGAATATTATTTAGAAATTCATAATTACATTAATATATATATATGTGATACAGTAAAACCTCTATAAATTAATAATGTGGAGACTGTAATATTCTATTAATTTATCGAATTATTAATTTATTGATATTAAAATCAGCTCAAAAAACTAATTTAAGATTTTAAAAATATATTAATTTATCGAGATATTAATTTATCAAGTATTAATTTATAGAGATTTTACTGTAATTTGGAATATATTTAGATTTTGACATGTAATCTGAAAAACATTTGAGACGGACAGGATTCATCGCAATGTAATAGTGCATTATGTAAAAAAAAAAACTAATGTATCATGTATTTGCTGTAATGAATGAAAATCCAAATACGTTATCCAAAAAAAACAAATATTCCCAAATATGTTCGATTACAATACATGAACCAAGATAGGAATGCGCTATATTATTAGTTCGCGTGTTTAGTTCTAAAAACGATTTTCTTCTTTGTTTTTATCACAAAACTAACAAAATAACAAAACGAAAAGAAAAAAAAAGCAACAACGTGTAAAAACTCAACAAACCCAGTGAACCAACCACTCACACATGTGGGTGTGCCTGCGAGTAGTTCCCACGCGCTTACGAATCGTGTAAGATACCTTTTGTCATCTCGATATTATTGTCTCTCGATTTTAACCATTTTGAAATTTCTTTTATTTTTCCTAGTTTCTCAGAAAGTCTAAATTAACGTTCTTTTTCAGTGTCCTCTCAATTTCTTTCGACGAACTTTTTTTTTCTCATTTTTTTTTAAATAATTTTGATCGCTGCTACGAAGAACGAATCAGTCCCTGCCAAACCCTAGAAGACGACAACGACGAAGACGAAGACGAAGACAAAGGCGACTTGTATAATAACTTCAATTTGACCTTCGGAATCTTCAGATCGTGAAACCGTAGAAGCAATCGAGCTTAGAAACGTCGATATTCTCAGCGCGATGAAGCCGATTCAATCGCCTCCAGGAGTTTCCGTTCCGGTTAAAAGCCGTCCTCGCCGCCGGCCAGACCTTACCTTGCCGCTTCCTCAACGCGATGTTTCCCTCGCTGTACCTCTTCCTCTCCCACCGACTTCCGGTGGCTCCGCTCCTTCTTCCGCCGGATCCGCACCTTCCTCCGGCGGTTCGGCGTCTTCAACTTCGTCGAACAACACCTCGGAATCGAAGAGCTATTCGGATTTAGTTCGCGGGAGCCGGATCGGGAGCGGAGCTGGTGGGACGGTTTACAAAGTGGTTCACCGACCGACGTCACGCTTATACGCTCTCAAGGTGATCTACGGGAACCACGAGGAGACTGTGAGGCGTCAGATCTGTAGAGAGATCGAGATTCTGCGAGATGTGAACCACCCAAACGTGGTGAAATGTCACGAGATGTTCGATCAAAACGGTGAGATCCAGGTTCTGCTTGAGTTCATGGACAAAGGGTCTTTAGAAGGTGCTCATGTGTGGAAGGAGCACCAATTAGCTGATCTCTCTCGCCAGATTCTAAGCGGCTTGGCTTACCTCCACGGCCGTCACATCGTCCACCGAGACATCAAGCCCTCGAATCTCCTCATAAACTCGGCTAAAAACGTGAAAATCGCTGACTTTGGAGTGAGTCGGATCTTGGCGCAGACCATGGATCCTTGCAATTCGTCTGTAGGAACCATCGCTTACATGAGCCCTGAGCGGATTAACACCGATTTGAACCAAGGACAGTACGATGGTTACGCCGGAGATATCTGGAGCTTAGGTGTGAGCATTTTGGAGTTTTTCTTGGGGAGGTTTCCTTTCCCTGTGAGCAGGCAAGGTGATTGGGCAAGCCTCATGTGCGCCATTTGTATGTCGCAGCCTCCGGAAGCTCCTCCGACGGCATCTCCGGAGTTTCGCCATTTCATTTCTTGTTGCTTGCAGAGAGAACCGGCGAGGAGGCAAACGGCGATGCAGCTTTTGCAGCATCCTTTCATACGTAGAGCAAGTCAGAGCCAAAACAGGTCTCCGCAGAATCTACATCAACTCTTGCCTCCTCCTCGCCCTCTGTCTTCGTCTTCTTCACCAACCACGTAGCGTTTTCTCATCCCTCTATCTTGGATTTTTTTCGAATTCTTGGTTACTGTTCTTGAATGTTGTCCAATTTTGCGCAAGCTTTTTCGTAACTTATCAACAAGGGTCTGATTTGTTAGTGGAGTAGAAAAAAAAAAAACAACTTGGGAAAGTGGAGAGAGGGTTTAAGGATAATTGAATCTTCTATCTTTTCGGGTTAATGTTTGCTTGGAAAGGGAAAGAGCAATGAGAAATTCTTATGCTTAATGATGGCAATGACTTTGCTTGTATCACAAATGTAGCTTTACTGAAATTTTGTTGAATTTTCATAGAAGTTTTGCACCCCTTTTTTTTTATTTGCCGTTTATGCTTCTCGATTTGCGTATTAAGCTTCATGAAGAGGACGGTTTCTTTTCATTTATGCTAATGGCTTAGTGCTCACTTGTTTAGTTTTGTCTGATAATGTTCTACACTAAAGCTTGATTATGTCTTCTTATTGTTAGTCAAACATTGTAATTCTCTTGTATTTAGCTGAAAGCAGACCATGAATTCCGCACTCGTAACTCCAATTCGCTCATTGTTTTGATTATATGTTTTTCCTCCGTTTTCTTGTCACAATTATACTCTCTTCTTCTCTCTGACTCTATCTCTCAATGGGATTCCAAATCGCAAAGTACTACAGTAGTAGAGTCGGTGAGTGTTCTAACTTCTAAATAATCAAAATGTGGATCCTTTAACCATCAATTGATACCTAGTTCTACCATTCCAAGTCTTTCTTGTACTACTCTAAGCTCTAATACTTCTTTTCTTGCACATGACCATGAGAATCATGAAATGTTAATAATAGTACAATGAGTGTTGGGGAGGTTTTTGCTCTGTGGGGTTTCTCGTATTTTGAATAGACTCTTGAGGTTTTTGTCTAGTTTCTGTTCAGGTGCTGAATTTATTAGACTTGATTACTTTAGTATGTAGATCAAGTTACATGTAGTAGATAAGACGCATAATCCGAGTTAAGAACTTTCAGTTTTCAAACTTACTTGCGTGATTCGTGTGATTTATTAGGAACGAAAAAAGTCGCTGTTTTCTCCAGCTTAAGTTACATGATGAAACCAAAAAAAGAAACCGCCTTTTATTACAAAAGGGCTCATTACATGAATCAAGACGACACCAACGAACAAACAAAAACAAAACCAAAAAAAGCAACAGACATTGAAATGATTCGTATGAGTTCCTTTCCTTGGTTGGGGTCAAAGAGTTGTATGGTATATATACACATTTGAATCATCTTTTGCTTTGCTTTCCTTAGTTCATCAACCCATTTGCTAGTTTTGCCCTCAGATCTTTCCTCAATATCTTCCCTGATGGAGCTTTAGGAACCGAATCAACGAAGAACACTTTGTTGATTCTCTTGTAAAACACAACCTGTGTGATTCACAATTTTGCATTAGCCAAATAATGATTCATTTCTCATCCAATAATCAATCAAATTCAAAAACACCAATTTTTTTTACCTGTTTTGACACGAATTGTTTCACATCATCTTCAGATAACTTGGAATCTTTGGATTTGACAACAAACGCAACAGGAACTTCACCAGCAGCTTCTTCTTTCATCGCGACGACGGCGACGTCGGTGATATCGGAATGACCGATGAGAAGAGCCTCAAGCTCCGCCGGAGCAACCTGAAAACCTTTATACTTGATCAGCTCTTTCAATCGATCGACGATGAAAAGCTCGTCGTCGTCGTCGATCAATCCGATATCTCCGGTGTGAAGCCATCCTTCTTTGTCGATGGTCTCTGCCGTGGCCGCCGGATTGTTTAGGTATCCTTTCATGATCTGGTGACCACGGATGCAGATCTCGCCGGGCTGATTCTTCGATAGGGAATCTCCGGTGTCTGGATCGACGATTTTCATCTCGGCGTTTCTCACCACTGTTCCACATGCTCCTGATTTCACCGGAAAAGGCTCTTTCGCGAACCCTAATGACATCGCTAGCACCGGACCTGCTTCCGTCATTCCGTATCCCTGTTCGGTCAAACATTTCCAAAACAACACAGAGAAAAAAACTTGTTTAGTGGCGAAATCTTGTTTTTTTAATAATTAATAAAACCTGTAAGCCTGTATTTTTCAGATTTTATTCTTTATAAACAGGAAATTTTGTGATTAGTAATCTGCCAAGTTGTGAAATCATTGCATAACTTTGAAAGAAAAAGAAAACGAACTAGACTACTTTTTGGTTGGTAACTAGTTGAATTGTGTTTTAAAATGCGAATATGTAGATATTTTGCCAATTAATAAAAAGTTGTGGAATGAAAAATAAAATATAAAAATGCAGTCTTGCTTAACAGAAAAAAAAAACTATTAAACAAAAAATTACTGTAAGTTTTAAGTCGTTTAATTCCAAGATTATTTTTACCATTTTGAAGTCATGTATTCTACAAAACTGTTACCAATCAAAACCAGAAATTTAATGCGGAATCAGATTTTATAATTCTGCAAACTGATTACCAAAATATATAAAAAAATAATAATGTTTTCTTGTCTAGATTATTATCATCATTATAAACGAGTATTCATACTAACTAACCATGAATAACCTTAACTTCTATATTCACTATTTTTTTTTTGGTTTAATAGGTAATGAGATTTCATTCCATCTTCTAATCTCTCTTAATACTGAATAAACAAATAATTAATCCGAGAGACACACACACACCTGACCGAGTTTGGCATTAGGAAACTTGGCACTAACGGCATCTTCAAGCTCCTTACCAAGCGGAGCCGCACCAGATTTCACCACTCTAATCGAGCTCAAATCATACTTCTCCGTCTCCGGCGACTTCGCAATCGCCAACACAATCGGAGGAACCATCGGAGCCACCGTCACTTTACACCTCTGAATCAGCTCCAAAAGCAGATTGATCTCGAATTTCGGCATTATCAGAATCGCAGCACCGACTCTAAGCCCACATAGCATGATCGAGTTCAGCGCGTAGATGTGAAACATCGGCAACACACAGAGGATGACGTCATCTCTGTGGAAATACAGATTCGGATTCTCGCCGTCGACTTGCTGAGCGACGCTCGTGACCAGTCCCTTGTGACTCAGCATCACTCCTTTGGGCAGTCCCGTCGTGCCGGAGGAGTAAGGAAGAGCCACAACGTCGTCGGAAGAAATCTCCATCGAGTCGATCTCTGTTGACTGAGTCAACTCGGTGAATCGGAGGCAACCTTCCGGGATCGGGACTGATTCGTCGTCGTCGGTGCAGACGATCACGACGCCGTCGAGGTTTTTGATTTTGTCGACGTAGCGAGACTCGGTGACGATGAGCTTCGAACCGGAGGCTTTGGCTTGTTTCGCGATCTCCGCCGGAGTGAAAAAAGGGTTCGCGGCGGTTGCGGTTGCGCCGCGGAAAGAGGCGGCGAGGAAGGAGAGGACGAACTCGGGGCAATTCGGGAGGAGGATCATTACGACGTCGTTTCGGTTAACGCCGAGTTTTTGGAAACCGGCGGCGATTCGACGGGAAGTGACGTGGACGTCGGAGTAAGTGTATACGTGGCCGGTGGGACCGTTGATTAGGCAAGGCTTGGAGGCGAATTCGGAGATGTTTTGGAAGATGTAGTCGTGGAGAGGGAGATGATTGGGGATGTAAATATCCGGTAGCTTTGATCGGAAAATGACGTCACTACTGTTGCTGCTCTGTTTCTGCATGGCTTCTTCTTGTGGCGTCATAGTAAGTTTTGAGATAATTTTTTTCTTTTTCTTTTTGAAGATTTGGATAATTTTGGTTTCGTGATTGTATTTATAGGCTTTGGCCTGAAGGAGTCGGATGTTGTCTCGGAGGAGATTATATAGAAACCTCATCGGAGAAGACGGTGGGGTTGGTGAAAAGGTTACTATTGTAATTTCTTGGTTTTCTTGAGGGTCATTTTGACATTTCGTTATACTATGTGTTCTGAATTTTCATGTTGCGTTTGGTGAGCTGCAATTTTTTTTTTTTTTTTGGTTTGAAAATCACATAAACTTATAAACTAGTGGTAATATAGTAGCGGGCATTACTTAAAAATCACTAGATTTTGTATTTTCTCTTTTTTACTTGGTTTTATTATCAAATGAGAAAAAGGGAAATATATCCATTGGAATAGTAATTTATTAAATTTAATAAATAAGGAAATAAATTCATTGTTTTTCAGGAAAAGACATAGCAAAAAAAAGTTATATTTAGATTTTTGCCATTTTTGGATATATGAGTAATGAGTGTATTCTACTTAATTTGATATATTTTCTTATCTCTTGGTTTAATGTGTTTTTGTTCCATAGAAGAATCAGAAATGTATATTACCAGGGAACATATCTGAACTCTTGACCGTCGTCATTTATGATATTATGAAACAAAAAGCATTAATTCGAATTTGTAAATTAATCAAGTGGGTTAAAAATGGGAAGCTTAAGAGATACAGGGATGGGATTGGAAATAAAGGAAATGGGTTTGGTGAAAAAGGGGTGGGTTGGTGAAGAAAGGGAGATAGATATTGATTGGGCTTTGGTGGGGAAAGTGGGCCCATGTTGACGATAAAACCTAAACAACAGTCCAAGTAAAAATGGAAGAACTATGACGATAATTTTCACCAACCCCACCTCTTTTCAATTATTTATATAAATATCAAAGATAAGAAAGTAATATACATATCTCCAAAATCAATGGACAATAGTTTTCTTCACCAAACACAATCCTTTCTTCAATTTTTCTTTTTGTAAGTGGGTTTTTAGATGATTAATAGATATAGATTTCTATAGAGGTGAGTAATCTTATATGTACAAATCGTGAAATAGTTCTTTTTGTATAATCATAAGACATCTCCCTAATCTATAGATCTTTTCCAATTGAGTTGGACTTTTCAAAATAAAAATCATCTTATCTTAAACTAGTGATCAGCAATATTGCTAGAAGGTGACTAACCACAGAAATGCTACAGGTCTTTTACGATTGCGATTGTCCATTAATTGATCATTGAATTAACTCTTAATAATATCAACCAAAAGAATACAAAATCAGTGGATAATAATCATATAATGTTGTTATCTCTCAGACTACCAATTAAGATGCGACACGTGTATGAAGTTTTTCGAAACTGCACCGGCCCGGGCAATAAGTTGACGAAATAATCTCGGCCTCCCCGACCCGAAAAATAGTGCTTTCGAAATTAAGTCGAGTGTCATAGTCACTTCTCAGGCATTTCCGCATGCGAGCCACAGAGCATATATATATGAAAAGACGTCCGCATCACATGCATGCAAAGCATATGCTATTGTGAGTTTGTGACCAAGATGATGTCAAATTATAAAA